AAAAACTCTAGAAATACATAAATACTTATATAAGGAGATTTTACCATGGCAATGCTATTTGTAGCACTTACTGCCTTAAGCAGCAATCAGATGTGTTAATAAAGAGGCTTCATTTTAAATGCATTTGCAAAGCAGCTACAAACAGCTGGAACATGTTCTGAGCTGAAGAGGAAGGAATTGCTCTCGCTGCTTGAAAGCAAAAAAGGCTAACAAGTATCAGAGGGGCCAGCTACTCCAGGAGAGATGGCAGGGATGAATGCTCCATTCTCCCAAAAGAGGGTCCCCTGTCCACGTCAATTAGGTAAAACATGAATAAAAGGGAAAAGAAATCTTGCGATAAAAAGAATTTCTCCAAAATCTATGTGAACCTTAACGCTCTGTCTGTACAACGCAGAATCTATAGAAAGAGAGTGAACTACGACAAAGAAAACAATCAGGAACAAAATACTGCTTTGGTATGTATCCAGAGCAATTACTGCAGCCCTGTGCAGGGATCTCTAGATATGGCCTTCTACAAGCACAAAGGAGCAGCTTTTCACAAGCCCTTGTCCTCATGGGGCACTTCAACCACACCAGTATCTGCTGGAGGGACAACACAGCAGGGCATAAGCAACCCAGGAGGTTCCTGGAATGCATCAATGAGAACTTCTTCCCTTGAGACAGGGAAGCCAATGCTCTCAGTTCTCAGCAATAAAGAGTGCCTGGTGGGGAATGTGAAGCTCAAGGGGAATCCTGGGCTGCAGTGACCATGGAGTGGTGGAATTCATGGTCCTTGGGGCAGCAAGGAGAGCACACAGCAAACTCATTATCCTGGACTTCAGGAGACCAGACTTCTGGGATTAGCTTGACAGAGTACCATGGCATAAAGCCCTGGAGGGAAAAGGCCAGTAAAAGCTGGTTAATACTCAAGGGCTACCTTCTCCAAGTTTAAAGAGGAAGTAAAAAATACCATGAGGTCAGTATGGATGAACAATGATCTTCTGGCCAAACTAAACAATAAAAAGGAAGCCTACCAAGAGTGGAAGCAAGGTAGCCTGGGAGGAATACAGAGATATTGTCCGAGCAGCCAGGAATCAGGTTAGGAAAGATAAAGCTCTCAGAGAATTAAACTTGACTGACATCAAGAGCAAGAAGCTTCTATAGGTATGTGTGTGCTCTCCAGAACCAGAGACTGGTTACACAGCTTACGGAGAATGCTGAGATACTCAACAACTTTTTTGACTGAGTCTTCACCAGCAAATGTTTCAGCCACACCAGTGCAGAAGGCAAAGGCAGGGACTGACTAAATGAAGAACTGCTCCTTGTAGGAGAAGATCAGGCTCAAGAACATCTTAGGAGCCTGAAGATGCACAAGTTCATAGGAACTGATGAGATGCATCTGTAGGTCCTGAAGGAACTGGCAGATGAAGTTGCTAAGCCACTATCCAGCATATTTGAGAAGTCATGTCAGCCTAGCGAAGTTCCCATGGAAAAAAGGAACACAATCCGTAACTCATTTTCAAAAAGGAAAAAAAACTGAAGGTCTGGGGAACTACAGGTTCCTTGATGCCTAAGATCATGCATCAGATCCTCCTGAAAACTATGCTAAGGCACACAGAAAATAAAGAGTTGACTGTTGGCAGCCAACACAGCTTCATTAATGGCTAACTGTGCCTTCAAATCAGGTGGCCTTCTATGAAGGGGTTACAGAATTGGTAGATAAGGAAAGAGCAACTGACATTGTTACCTGGACTTGTGCAAAACATTTCACATTATCCCACGTGACATCCTCGTCTCTAAACTGGAGACCACTCGGTGGATAAGGAATTCACTGAATGGCCACATTAAAAGAGTTGTGGCCAGCAGGCTAAGAGTGCTGGGGCTGCACAGCCTGGAGAAACGAAGACTCTGAGGAGACCTTAAAGGACCTCCCAGTACCTAAAGGGCACCTACAAGAGAACTGGAGAAGTACTTTTCACAAGGGCATATAGTGACAGGACAAAATGACTGAGGACAGGTTCAGATTACATAAGGAAGAAATTCTTCACTATGGGGGTATGAGACACTGGCACAGGTTGTTCAGAGAAGCTGTGAATGCCCCATCCCTGGTAATGTTCAAAGCAAGACTGGATGAGGCTTTCAGCAACCTGGTGAAAGGTATCCCTGCCCACAGCAGGGGGGTTTGAACTAGATGATCATTAACATCCCTTCTATCATTTTATGATCCACAGCCCACAGAACAATTCCATTAATTCTGAAGCTAGAAGCAATATAACCCCACTTGTGAAGCAGCATGCTTACACTAAAAGACCTTTCTCTGCCCTCACAGAATGAGAATGTTTTGTCAGAAATTCAGTTGTGGTTTATACCTCATTTTTACTACTGAGATGAAAAGATGTGTGAAGGGAATGGTCCTGTACCAAAAGGCAGAAAAAATTATTTCATTTGCATCTAAGTGTTTAATTGACAGGCTCTTCCACACTAAAAAGAAACACCATGAATGGAGGAAATTATTTTGGCTCACTTAATAGGAAACTTCAGTGCTTGAACAGCAATTCTTAACAATGAGTGATGCTAGGTTATTGATAAATGCCTTTTATTTTTCGTAGAAAAACTATTTTACTATGCTGTTTCACTCTAACTCATTTTTGATTGAGACTCTTTTCATAAAGAGTCAATTCTTGCTTCACATAAGCAAAAACTTCACATCTATTTCACAAAGGAAAGAAGCAGAGGGGTTTCTTCACATGAATTATTGGCAAGATTCAAGAACTTATCTTTAATTAAAATCAACAGCCAAAACAACCTTACTATTTGGATAATTACACCTGATGAGTCTTCATTAGGGTAATAGTTAGCAAAAGGCACACACTTACAAAAATGAGTATCAAGGCAGGTTAGGTGTTTTATATACTTGCACTCTTTATCCTGCCTCCACAATTGTCCAGACTGGAAAATGACCAGATTGCCCCAGAGCTACCTTTTGATCAGAAACAGAGGTATTGGTGTGTATAAAGGAAGCAGCTGTGATGCTTATCATAAACCATTAAGTTTGGAGGAGTGTTTACATCCCACAGTACAGATTCAGCTCCAGTGATAAAAACCATTCAAGATTTTACCATACATGAACAAGCTACCAAACTCTGGCAGGGACTCCTAAAAACAGCGCCTCTACCCCTCTATTTTCCTTTCCAGTACTTTTATTATCATACAGAGATGAAATTCTTTTTAATATTCTGATAAGCCTAGTAAAAGACTGGAGACTCGCAATTTCTTGACTTCTGTATTTTAGAAAATATCTTTGCACATGTAAAACAGAGACCCATATGGAAACAATTGTTTCTCATAGTTCTCTGGTTGTATTATACTGTGTCACTAAGTTTTAGCTGCTTTTTAATATAACCTAAATATATTTATGCATTAAGACAATGATTGCCTCCCTTTTTTTTTGTGAATGACAAGAACATTTTGGATTATTCTAGAAGTATGTTTCATATATGCTTACTCCCACCTTATATTCATCGCATCAGTTTTTGTCCACTACCAGAGACAAAGCAGACATTTGGTCTATGCAGTACAGCTGCTCTTTTGTTCATTTCTAAATAGAACTAAAAAAACAAATTCCACATAAATTTCTCCTTGATTTTTGTTATCTTTCAGAGCAAATGTTTAGGCTTTATCACATTTCTAGCTACATAAGTATTTTTTTTTTCCTGAAGTAAGGCATTTAACACATTCTTCAATATTGTGTAGATACAGTGCTGACTCCACCATGAAAACTGCAGGGTCAGAACCACTGTTAAGGGAGCAGTAACAACTTTCCTCTCAGTAGTATGAAAATAGCACTGGTTTTGTGCTGCTGCAGATTTCAATATAGCTGGGAAATAAAAAATAATATTGTTTACATCTGCATAAAATCCAGTCTTCAGTATGCAGCCAGCTGCACATAAAATGAGGAGAAACATGAGCAAAAGTGAGCATTTACTTGAATCAGGTCTTCAGCAGCCACATAAATGTGCAGCTTGAAGTAGTGTTGACAGACATCTTTGTCTCAGGGCAACTTGCATTTGTCCAGACCCTTCTTAGCAAAAGACAACATATCTAAAATCAGACCTATTGAAACAAACTTTCTGTTCTTACTGGTTTTAAAGAAAACATCTTGTGAATTGATTATTACACAAACAATCCACTATTACTTTTGGGTGATTGTACACACATGAAGAAAGATGTAATTTTATTTCTAGCTGAGGTGAATGCATCTTGTTAGTGCCTATTCATACAGAAAAGCAAACAGGTAACTACATTTGCTAGATGTGATCTGCTAACTACGGAATTAAATACAATCCTTTTAAAATTAAGCAGACTTCAGGCATAAGTCCTTTTCCTAATGCTGTCAAGATGATTCCAATGTCATTTGAATTTACTTGCTTATTTGATTTTGCCTGTTTCTCCTAGTTTATGCTTTGATGCGCCTGGCAAATTTTAAGTCATTTGACATTTTGACTACAGGTTTTAAACATTACTTTACCAAGGGCTGCAACAACATTTAGCTTAAATATTTTACATGCTTACACTCCCACTTTTCCTTTGATTGTACTTAATTTGTTAACAATCTGTCTAGTACTCTCTAGTGTCTCCTCTGCTCAACTTGTTCTCACAACAAGGTTGTGATCTTCACACAGTCATATTCCATGCCTAATGCTATGTTGCCATCTGTTGACCAATTGAGCAGTTGTAGGACTACGACTAAGACAAGACTCAAGAACATAAATAAAATCTCCAAAAGATTTTAAATCTCTACTTTATATTTACTTCTTTTTCTCTGTCTAACAAAGTGATTTAATATCTTAATATATTTCCTTAACATTTACTAATTTAAAGGTATGAAGTCTTCAAATATAATATTCATACAGCAATATATGACATAAATCAAGTCAATGGCTCAAACATTGCATTGTGGTGCTGACTTAAGAACTTATATGGATATAACAATTTCATATAGTCACTAATCAGTGACTCACCTTTGAATCATCCAGTTCCAGCTTTTTCAGAGATCGTCTGACATAATCTACGAAGGAGGATGATTTGGAGAAGGTTTTTCCAACATGTCGATCACTGCAAATACAGTACTCAGGTGTAGCTTTTACATATCCAATAACAGAAATTCATGTGTTTTTAACAAAAGAAATAAATCAGTTGGATGGCTACTACTGCCAAGTTGGCAAGAACTTTTTTTTTTCTCCCTTCCACGTAAAACTAGCTAACACTTGAAGCAACTTCTAGACACAGCAACTGTGTAACTGTATTATGGTTATAATACGGTTATTACTTTACCTAAAATTTCGAGAGATAGTTGAAGTTTCTTTTTAATTTCTTAAGTAATTTTTTTTTTTTCCTTTTATGAATGATGAAACTATTATTTCCATAGACAGATATTTCCTTCCATACTTCTATATTATTTCCATAATCTAACATAATTCTGCTGTAATTTATTTAACACCAACCACTGGACTGAGCAAATGTCACTTTTGCTTGTCACCTGGTGTTCTTATCCTTTCAATTTTTATTTCATTAAATGATGCCAGAATTCTGTCCCGTTCAAAATTCAATAGCTTGCATTTTAAGCCAGACAAAAATGTGTTTTGTTGTTTCAAAACATATGTTAAAATAATGCACAAAGGAAGAATGAATCCTAGCAGACCACTTGTCTGTGCTTAAAATATCTTGGAGAAACAACACACAAATTTTCTTTTTAGTCTGAATTCACTTTCTTGACTGAGTCTAACATTATTTCTCCTCTAGATGTGCAGGGTAGGAGTTAAATATTCAGGTACTGAATTATATAATAAGAAATACACTCTCCCCTTACCCTCCCAGTGAAAAATTGAATAGAAGTGTATTAGTTTCGAACTTTTCTCCCTCTTTATTCTTAGCAAAATGTATCTCCTTATCTAAAACCCAGAACTAATATCTGAGGTCAACAGAGTTCAAAGGATTTCAATGCAGTTCTAATGCTGTTTAGGTGTCAAGGACCCTCACTCATTGAGAATCATTTTTGTTTTCATATTTAATATTCAGATGCGCCTAAACATTTAGGCTGATACAGTCTGAAAAACAGTTAATGATTATGTTGTTATGTCATTCCTAGGAATATGGGCATTTAATGTCATGCTCAGAAAAAAAAATGGGGGTGAGAAAGGTCTTGCCAAGGGAGCCATTGTGCTCATTACGGACATATAATCTTAATTATTTCCTCCAAATTATACTTCCTTCAAAACATGAAAAATCTACCTCACAGTTTTTCTTTTCTTTACAATTTAGCAGCCATGACTTTTTGTGTAATATTTTATGCAATTTTAAAATACAGAACCGTTTCTTCTTTCAGGAATTTGACCTTCTGAAGGGTAGGTAATCTGTCAGACTCTACATCTAGTAAGTTTTAAGGGTATTTGCACTAAGTACTTATTTTAGATCAGAGTAGACTTCTGAAGTGAATTTTCTGGTTTTCCCCACCTCTCATGCCTTGGCTCACACCATGAAATAGTATCAGAGCTCAAAAAATAGGTTATTTTCAAACTAAATTAAACTGGTAGGTGTGCTTCTGGATGTGCTCCAAGTTCTAACAGGCATACATCCCACAGACTAAGATAAAATCTAATCCAACTGCAACCACAGAAGAGAATAATGTAGATGTCAGGTCCTCAACAGCAGCTCTCCAAATCCCATTCCTACAAGAAAGCAGCACTTGCTAGTGTAGGCACAGGCAGTGAGTAAGCTCTTTGGAGCCATGATGGCCATCAAGCTGTCAGAAGTTTTTCTCAGGACAAACAGAAAAGCCTTCTTCCTTCTGCAGTATCAAAGCTCCCAGGATCTCTGCATGACAGGGACTGCCAGGACTGCCACTGACTTTTCAGTGCATTTGCTGAGAATTCTCAGGTGAAGATGCGCTTTACCCAGTACCAAAGAGGGCCTGTTTCAGCTACAGGTAAAGGAAGGACAATACATTTGTGACATGGATTTAGGATGAGCAAATCTATCTTGCATTTTAATACCAATGTGTATATACAACCTGATGAGACCGATTCCTACATCCTTCTGCTTTCCAAAACATTCTCTACAACACAGAGGTGGAAGAGAATCAGATCAATCTCTGGTTGTTATTATGTGAATGCAGAGCTTCCTACCTTTTGGTGACACCATAAATTTCTTCTATAATAACCTGAAGAACAGCTCGATAAAACAGTGATTCTGTAGGCAGCTGCAAAAAATTTTACAACAGCAAGGATTTAAAGTTGGCACTGAAATTAAGATCAGAGCAACAAAACCAGTACTGGCTTCCTTAACTATTTATTGAGTTCTATACTTTACAATCAGTCATACCAGATTTAAGAAGACAATTTACTAATGTTCTTGCATCCAGTTAAAATTATGTTTTTAAGTCAGATTCTAACACAACCATAAATGCAAGAAAAGAAAAACAAACCCAGACTCTCTTGATGGAAAGAAAGACAACAGAGAAAAAAGCACTGTTCATGATCCAAATTCTAATATGCAAAATAAATAACAATTATCTAAGTTGTTTTGAAGACAAAAGGAGAAATTACCTAGCTGAATCATCTATGGTCAGACTGTAGTCTGAATCACGCAGAAAGTACTGTGCTCAAAAAAAAAGTACTAAAAATTTCACATATTTGTCTATGGAAAATATGTTTGCATAAAACCAGCTAATGACTGCCAATTAAAAATTCACAGAAAAAGACTGCTGGGGTCAGTGGGCTTACTGAATATGGAAAGTCTCTCAGCCTGGCCCTTTAAATACTTGCACAGTTGGTGCCCACCATCCCTTAAGGATAACTTGCATAACAATAATTCAAAATATTCACAGGGAAAAAATCTACAGGGATCAAAAAGGAGAATGACGATGTTTCTAACAGGTTCAAGCTTTTGTCATAACAATGCCTATTTTTACACTAGTTGATAAAACATTGCGATAGAGTGATCCAAACCAGGGATATCAGAAGGACATTTGCACTGAATTTATGTATTAGCTGAAAGATAGCAAAGGAAGTTAGGATGGGTAGTTTAATGACTTAGATTTTAAGTTGTGCTTTTTTTTCTCAGACTCTTAATTGTCAAAGAAAACAGATTGACTAAGTACAACCACAGCAATAAATATGTGATTTCATGATGACACATGCTATCTATCCGGATTTGACATAGTGTAGACCAGTATTTCAGATTCCAGATATGCAGAAGTTCAGTAAAAGGCCATGGATTAAGAACATTCAAGGGGGGGAAAACGCATTTTATCGTAGAATGGCTAAAATAAACAGTATTACTTACCATTTGGCCAACTGCAACTCGCTCCAAAGCCTTTAAGAGTCAAGAAATTAAATTGCTGATATGTTTATTCTTTATCATAACATTTTATAAACACATGGTATAAAAGTCAGAGGAGATGACATTTTAAAAGATTAATGGTGTGAAATAACATGAGCTTGCACACTTTAAAGTGTTAATACCTTTAGGCACTCATAAGCAGCTACTCCTGTTATTTTGGTTTCTTCATGGGAGAAGCAATGACATCCAACTGTGTGGAAACAGATCCATGAAAAATTTGCTTGTTTTTCTGTCTATTGCACAAGAATTTCAGAGGATTACTTTTTGTGAAAGTGCTAAAAACAAATGAATTTTTCTTGAATCTGTTTCTACTGAAATACAAATGATTCACTTTGCATATTTAATCATTTAAAAGTAAATACTAGTTCAATGGACAATATTAGTTTTAATCACTAGTACTCAGATAAACAGAACTGCTGCAGGCAAATAAAGTACCTTAAGAGAGATTGCAGTTTAAAATACTGTGCGTTATTTTTCACTAGAGTCTTCATACTATAAATGCTGATGTAGATATGAGACTACTTGATTTTTATGATGCATAGCGACAAAGTATGACAAATAATTAGAAACATGCAATATTCTTTCACAGTTAAAACGATAATGTGCCTACAAAAATTTCAAGAGTTTTGAAGATTGTAGTAGAAATGAAGACAAAACCTCAGTATCTGATTATCTGATACTACACCAAATCAGGTAGCAAACAAAAAATCCCTTGCCATTTACAGATTATTATCACCCTTAGTCCCAAACTTCACTGTAGTAAATAAGACTGCATGTTACACAATCACCCACTCTTCTTTCTCCTTATTATAGAACTAATCTTGTATTTCACACTGTTCTTCAAACACAGTCCACATAGCTGCAGTTCCTCCACTCATGGCTTTGGCCAGCTATCAGGTTTGCCTTTTGCTGCACAAGCTCTCATAACAGCAGCTATCTGCTGCTGCTGAGGAGATGGTATGGGTTCCAGGACATATTGTAAGGCTCTGGAACTGTAACTCCTGTCCAACACCTCTGGCTCTTGGCAATTCAACCAATTTGAACTCAGTGTCCATGCTCAGCAGACCTCCTGCTAACCAGCCATTAGCCCAAGAAATGAGGGTGCTTAGTGGCTCTGTGCTGGCTCCCTTGTACATCCTACATGGCAAGGAAAATCCTAGTCATGAAAAATGCACATAGATGATTATAAACAGGAGAAGTATCTAGTTACACAGGAGAACTCTGCCTTTTGTGAATATTCAAACAAAAGGTTTTTTAATTGCCAAATTTCTGTGATTTCTGAGACATCTAAAATAGATATATATAGCATGATCAGTATTCTCTTGGGGGTCATTTGCTTACAAAATTTATCTTCCTACCATTGCTGAAAAACAGCCCAACCTTTTTCTGTCCAAAAGAAATGGAATAGGAAACAGCTAATGTGTCAGCTGAGGAAGGACAGGTATTGTATGACACTGACAAGAACAAGAGAAAAGGCAAATCCCTTTAGAAAGCACTTTTCTTCTGCTAAGTTTACAGCTACATCTCTAAAATGAACAATTCTTTTCTTTTACTTTGCCGAGGGTAACACATTTAAGCCTTATGGATCCTAACAACTGTCCTCTTACATTTTCTCCTGATAGCAATTAATTATCATGGTAGTTCAAGTTTACATAACCTCAATACATTAGTCCACACTGAATCTTTAGTCTGTCTTCTCTGTAATGGAGGTACAGAGCTAGCAGCAGAGCATAGCCAGAACCTGATGTGATTTATTTGGATACCATAAATTTAAAATTAATAGAGGGAAGGAATAGTAGTCTTCTAACTGAAACAGTGGTCAGAATTTTCAGTACCTGTTTTTTCAAATTAGACAACAGCTCATCATCCTATCTTGATGAGGCTGTCTTTAAAAGTACTTCATCTCTTAGTGCAATGTTAAAAAGATGCTTCCAGATTCTTAAGCCACGTGGATTTTAGAGCTCCTTTAGTTTTTTGAATAGGCAGGGTTGTTCAGGTTTTAAACAGCTAGAACATTCAATATTATGAATCATGAAGGCATTGGGGGAGTTACTGATTGCAATCCTTCTACAATTACCTTGTTTCTACCAAAGTCCTAGGCCAAGAACTATTATCCTGAGGGGCTACCTTGTTTAGGTTTCAGCAAAGTTTTGGCCTTTCTGTCCACTCTTAAAGTACATTTCTGTCAATACGCATTTTTTCATGCCTTCGGTAAGCATAAAATATATAAAGCTGGAAGGTCAATACTGTTTTTTTTAGATATAATTCATCATGCTTACAACATTAATGATGTTATTCTGTAGATTCTTGGATTAAAGTCATGGCTTCAGGATCAGAAGCCAAAAACAATGAATCCTGTAACATCTGGACAAAGCTCTCTGTAGGAAAAAGAAAGGGAGGGGAATCATACCAAGCATGCTGACATCCTAGCATTGCGACCACAGCACCAGCCTTTGTCCTTCAAGTACTGGCACATGGGAAATCCCCAGACTTGGTCCTGGCATTCTGCAACAAGGAGGGAAAAAAAAAAAGGCACAGCTTTTCCACTTACAGAGTACTCAATGGATGGAGCAAGATGAACAGTAGGTAATGTAGCAGAAACACTTAACTGTTCTCACCCAGTACCAAAACTCATGGTAGTCCTACAAAAAACATGCTTTCTCTTTAACAGATGTTTTTGGTTTATGCTGAATTTCTGATAATTTCACATTTACAGAAACAATTTTAAGTGAGTGTCCTTTGCATAAATCCACTGAAAAAACAGTCAAAGGGACAAGAGAAAAGTCTGCAAATACTCATGGTAACCTACACTACTCCACGAATCACAAGATGTAGGCCAAGCAGTCATTCCATGCAGAAGAGCTTCATTACCACTTCTCATTGTCTCCTTATTCTATCCCAAATGTCTTTCAGACATCACACAGAACAATGTGTATTTGTTTATTCTAGTTTTTAAAGACCATTCTGCTGTGAGGCAGAATGTCTGTTTTCCAGAAAAGAGCAGCTGCAAAGGCTCTTGCTCTTTCTTCAAAACACCAAGAAGCATTTGCATCACAATCTGTGCTCAGTTTCAGTATCATTTGTATTTTGAATAACAAGAAAATTATTCATGTTTAACACTAATGCAAATATGGGAAAACTGAAGCACAGAGAGTACTTTATAGATGTTCTTAATACTCAGTTCTAAATGTACACAAACTCTAAATGTTTAGAGTCCTCATTAACACATTGTCAGCTGATTTTTTAGAATGGTGAATAAGAATTACTGCTTTCTTTAAAAAAAAACACAATTTGGCTGAGATCCTGGCTTTTTAGCACAGGAAGGTGACTGGGGCATATTTCAGAATAAATCATGTAATGGGGTTAAAAAGAGGGGACAGCAGAAAATTTACCAACAATTGGAGTTACATACATGTAAGTTGAATTCATTCTATAAAAGTTAAGCAAAGAAAAAGAAAAAAACTATAAAGAACCAACCCCAAAACTTGTGACAGCCTTTGCCTTTTTGGAAGAAGTGCCCAGTCTCAGATGACCACTAGAAAATTACAGCAAGCAGGCAAGAATCCTGTGCAGGCAACCTCACCCTTTGCTCTCCTTTTAGCCCTGAGGAACACCAGAGGCTCTTAGGGGTTGAATACTGGTTTGAGAACTGTGATTTAAGAATAGGATTTTAATTATGGATTGCAAGCAGAAAGAGGAAGAAAATTATTTAGAAATAAAGATGAAATTTGATCAAACAGACTGCAATTGGTTTCAGCACTAGGAATGTACCAAGAATTTGTAAGTGCCTCATGACAAGATCTAAAATATTAATTAACTTCAAGTCTAATTATGGAGTACATGGAATACATGAATATTTCTACTGCAGGGATGGCAGTAAGAAGTTATTAAATATGTTTATTTTGCAAAGAAAACAAAGACTGACTGTCGCCCTGAAAACTCAGCTTTTTGATCTTGTTGACATAGCTTCTAAAGACTTTCCCAGGACAGTAACTGTAAACATAGATTTGTATACATTCTTTCTGATACACATCTTTTGATGGACATCTCTCAGGGCCAGTGTATTTGGGAAGCTGTTATCCTGACTATCCAATCCCTGGCCGTGGTCAGAAACCTATAAATTCTGAGAGAAGAAATAAAGTTTCTCTTTCCTTTCAGCACACCTTGAGCTGTGTCTGTGTGACTTATTTTGTGTCCAACAGCGACAACTGACATGGTTCCTATTGTATGATTCTCACTAATATGTCTTTCTAATACGTATGTTAAAATATTTCAAAATGAAAATTTGCAAACTGATTTAGAAAGATGAAATACTTGATCTTTTCAAGCAAATCCCTTCTAATTTATGCCCTGTCCTCCAGGCAAACTAATCATTCATTCAAGTTGAAGTTACTACCCTGTCAGCTACAATCTCAATATCAGTGCACAGTACTCATGCATAATTCTCACAATCTTTGAAAAAGATTATCACTCAAAGCACCATCTTCATTTAAATTATTGAAACTGTAAAGTAGGAGAAAAAGGGAAATTAATACTTTAAGTTGGAAAGAATTTTTTGTATATATCAAAAGTTGACCACACATCTACAATATTGCTTTAAATTCTATTTATTATTTCACATTCAGTCTGCTCTCAAGTACACTTTTAAAAATTTTAGGATTAATATATTGCTACAAAGTTCATATATTTACAAGCTACATTTTAAAAAACTAGAAATTATTTTAATGCCTCCAACTACTTCAGATACACTTAATATTATATAGCTCACTACCTTATTGTGCCTCTATAACAACACAACAGCTGTTCTAAACTGTATAAATCTCAAAAAACATTCAAGAAACATTTTAAGTACATTTTAAGTACTCCATGGAACATTTCACAGGAAACAGCTCAAGTGTTCAACAGCACATGAAGCAATCACGTTATAATTCAGTAGAGTAGCCAATCAGACAGAATTCCTTCTATGAGCAGTTAACAAAATAGGGAATTTTAGGTAATCATTCAATGAGCAGAACTGAAGCTAAGCTGGTGTTTAATATCAGAAGATATTAGTTAAATAGCAAGGACTTTACCTCTAAGCTAACTTCTAAGAAAGACTGAATCACACATTAAATGAAATGCTGCAAATATCGCAACAAAACATCAGCATTTTTTAAATCGATATAGTATTTATAAAAAAAAATATAAGGCAATAAAAGTAAGATAAAGGTAAAGTCCTTTTCACAGTTGCTAACTCTGCACAAATGATGACAAGGAAGTTCAAGAGAATGGGATGAACTTCTCCAATACCTTTAGTATTAGGCTGTTCATAGATTCTCATCTTTAAGAATACTACAATTTTTAGTGTGCTAATATTCAAATTTTACTTCACAAAGCTTTACAGTAAAATATTGTCATTACAAAACAATGGGACCAACAACCTTTAACATTACTGGGAAAATAACTGACTTAAGTTATTATATTAACTGACTTGAGTTCCATGGGATAAGCCAGATCAGAAAGGTGTGGAGGCGGCAAAGCTGGTGTCGCGTCGTATTCCCTTTGGCATGCCTTTTCCAGCCCTGGTGTCCCTGGAGCTGCAGGCTTTGTGGGAATCTCTGAACCCCAACCCTAAACCTAATGGCTGCTTTTGGCTGATTATGTAATTCAATGGATTGAAATGGCATTTTTCCTTCTGAGATTTTTCAGTGGGAATTAATCTATTACCCTAGTCATTTTTTTTCACATACACCCTACTTTGTCTCTTTGTATATATTGTGAACTTCATCAAAGTAGTACTAAAACACAAATAAGTTTTTTCAGGTCCTCCATAGCCTCTATCTTCCACAACACTGTAGATTTTTAATCTACTTCTGTTATTCAAAATGAAATAGATAACTACTAAACTGCCTTTTTCCTTCATGGGGTAGACTAAATCTTCCTTGGCCATGTAATTCACTGTTCCTTGAATTTGTATTTTTCAAAAAAAGTCCCCTGACTAAGCAGGATTTTGCTGGGGAAAGCAAGGGGCACTGGGGAAGAAAAATGCCTTCTAATTCCAGAAAACAGAATCAGCTGCCACCAAAATAATTTCCAAAACCCAAACCTAGAGTATGTTTTAAGTATGTGCATTAAAACTTTGGCATTCTCAATTCTAACCTTATACTTTGTACACATGAGAAAAATACAAATGTAAGATGGTTTCAGGTTTCAATATATTCTTGCTACATTTATTAATGAAAAGTACCATAATAACTTCAATAGGTAATACTTTCATTTAACATCTGTAAAGCTTACCTTGTTAGTATTTTTTCAAGTTTCATATTTTCTTCAGAATCAATTTTTATAAAAAACATCTGGGCTTTAGTGACTAGTTAGCTGTGTCACAAATACATAGTAAGCTTCCCTATGCAGCAATATCTAAAGATGCCTTGGGAAGGAAATTAAGCTTTTTGATCTGTTGCTTGGAAGTGTTTTCCTGTGTTGCCATGGTATCAGTGGTAGCTATTTTAAGATATTGGCTGTGGAATATTTTTGAAAATATAACTAGGCTACACATAAATCATCTGTACTCTAATACCCTGAAACAGTGAGTAATCTTTCATATTTGACTGGGATGGAGTGATACAAAGCCATTATGCTTGTGTAAGTAATCCTTCAGAAAATTCAGTTTCAGAGTATTTGTCCTCCGAATTCACCTTACTCAAGGCTTTGCCAAGTTTCACAAGTCTGATAAAATTCTGTCTGTGAATTTTGACTACCCTTTGCAACTCTTCTGGTTCCCTTTGTTATGTTCAACAGCTTTTAATAGTCAAAGTTCATTTTGCAAAAGCTTTGCTGACTTCTTCCAGAGTGCCTTATTGAGAAGCTACTTTCCACAGCTTCCTGTAGAGCTCTAGAACTCCTCTACCCACCAGTGACCTGACTTTGGCAATGCTTACACAACCTGGAGTTTATGTTTTGTATTGCTAAAGCCAACCTCAAAAAGAGCTTCTATCAGATAGCTATCACTGAAAGTATCTATAAAACTACACCCATCTCTTATTTCAAATTACAGAATCAAAGATTATGCTGAATTGGAAGGGATCCAATGGATCATCAAGATCACCTCGTAGCCCTGCAGAGCACCATCCTCAAGGATCACACCATGTTCCTGAGAGCACTGCCCAAACACTTCTTGAACTCTGTCAGGCTTAGTGCTGTGACCACATGTGCTGAGGACTGCACATGGTCCAAAGGGTTAAAACTTCCCCCCTTCAGGGGAGGTACCTGGGCTTTCCCACCTGATCCTGAGCATGTATTAACCCTTGAAGCGTTTGTTTCACGGCTTCCCCCACCCCTGACAGATCAAGACTGCGACCATCACTTTAACCATGGGACATCTGAAATGCAAAGTGCTCCTGAAGTGCAAAAATAATGTGTAGTGATACCTTTCCTCTCCACTAGCTACTCTTCTAATTTCTTTCTTTTCCTTATCAATTTTCTTCAGTGATATTTTCATGCTTTTATAATGTCATATTATTATAGATAATAACCAAAATGGCTACATTTCCATTGCAACCAAATTGCTCTAAAATATACATACCACCACACACAAACACATATTTATACATACATATATATATATATATATATATATATACACACATGCACCTATCATTCTTTTCACTCTAATCTGCCCCATAGGATATATTAAAAAAGAACCTCAGTAACCCTGTCTCTGGTGAGTCTTAACAGCAGCTCCAGAGCAAAAGAAACATTTGCGTGTTTTTTCCTCAAAATGGAGGATATAATACTGAAGAATTTCACTGGTTTCTAGACTGGTACTGAAATATTTGGTGGTAAAGAAGATGGAAAGCAGAGAATTAGAACACAGAAACTCAAATTCCTTTTCAAGGAAAGTAAAATATTTTTTAAAAATATGTTAAGTTTTCAGTTCTTCTCTGTTAATGGATAACCACAGACCAGCTGGTACACTGCCCCAAAAATGTGTTAGCTGAATGTAAGATAAAACAGCTCCCAAGAATCCTAAGAATATCTCCTGAACAGAGGCACAGAGTCTGTTTTAACCTAAAAATCATTAGCAAACTGATTTTTTCCCCAGAAAAACTGACATAATGGTTCACTATGTAAATAGGTTTATGTAAAATGTCTCTAATAAATAGTAAAATCCTTTCTACTCTGATGTAATTGACTACCCAATGCAGTAACAGAGAAGAAAACCCCCAAAGGAATCAATTATATTAATGGCTGCATATATTTTATCCATACAAGAATCTCTACATAAACAGACAATTCTCCTTAGGGAGACCCAAAGCAACACTACTTAGAATTTTTCAAGAGCTGTCATATTATTCCTTATTAACTGATACTTAGAATTTCATACTGCTTATGAGCAGTGAAATTTAAAGACAGGTGTTAAAAGACATTGACTTCAACTTTTTAAAATTGAGTTGAAATTTAATATTACACAGCACCTCCTGGTTGTTTTAGTTACTAATAAATCAAAGCAAAGGCTTTCATGATCTTAACAGTTCAAAATTATTCCCAGCACAATTGGAAATGTGGTCCCATTACCAAAATTTCAAAATGAATTGTTTATTTATAGACACATAGAAGGATACTGTATACTGATTGCATTATTATTCAAGATTCTGACTGTTGGCACCTACTTTCATCAGAAATGCTTCCAAAGAATTCACAGCAGGTCCAACAGCAAATTCATTCAGCCAATCTTGCAATATCTGTACTATTTTTGGAGTATGTGAGAAATGTAATGCATTTCTGAAGTCATCTCAGAAACAAAAAAAAACCAAGCCCAAACTTGTGATAACCAAAGTAATTCAGTAGCCCAACAAACACCAAATAGTAACATTCTGTTGATACTAGTAAATTTTATTCCTATGAATATCAGTTAATTCCAGTTAATATGAAGTGAAAGAGTAATTTTCACTTGACTTGGTATTAAATCTTAAGTGCCAAAGAACATGCTCTCCAGCTATACCAAGTTCTGAAACCAGAAGTCCATCGCAGCTCCTGTTTGAGGTGGCTCCTCTGCTTCAACTGAGCTTATTATAACAACCCTCTGAGTTTACATTAAAGAAACACCAAAGATGGAAAATGTGCTACTTTGGGGGCAAGAGCTTTGAGGTGGACTTGCCACAACCTTGACTTTAAGGATGCATACCTCAGGAAAATAAAAAAGCTTTTATAGAGGACAAATAACATTTTTAAAACAGACTTCAAAAAACTTTGAAGCTATTTAGTCAATATAAAATGACTGTAGAATGCTTTAGAACAGAACTTCCCACCATGTCCTCACAGGCAAGTCCTTGCTTACTAGACTGATTTCAAATGAGTAAGTAATTTCCTGTGTTGGAGCAAATTCTGCCCAATTCTCTTTGCTTCTTAGGAAGATCTATCCATCACTGCAGAGGTGTAGCTCTAAACTTGCTTCCTAATATTCAAATTGGTCTCTCCATCTAAAGCATGCACATGTCTCTGCAATCTCTGATTGATGCCTAGAGTAGCCAGTAGCTTTCCTGAGTTCAGTGTCAGAGCCTGGGCAAATGAAGGACTATCTACAGTAGAGATTATATTGGCTGAAATACCACACAAGCCAACTGGAAATACACAACTGCACGTGGCCAGATGGGATGCATTTCAGGATCACATAACTCACTGGTGTCCCATGAAGACCATACACTATCATCTTTGACAGGTCATGTCCATCCTGATTATAGGAAACAGGTGAAAATCACACTCATCTTCACCTGAATAAGCTCAGTCACAACAAGTTTATGGAGCACATTTTCCTGGAAACCATGCCCAGGCCCATGAAGAACGAGAAGAAGGTCGACACTAGCGGGCAGGAATTCATCAGGCACTGACAAACTATTACCCTCTGTGATGCAGTGACTGGTTCCATGAACAAGGGACAGCAGAGTCATAGTTTATCTTAATTATATGAAGTAATGCAGCAAGCTTTCCTTAGCATCTTTATAGACAAAATGGAAAGATATGACTCAGATGGGTGGACTCTAAAATAGGCAGAAAATTGATAGCAATCTGAAGTTAGACAGTGAACCCTGCAGATTAAGGGATGTGATTATTCTCCATTTTTAGCACTTATGAGAGTATCTGAAGTGCTTCTTTGGGCTCTTTAGCCCACCATAATGACTGAAATTAATTTATTGGTGGCAAGAGCACTAAAGGGCTGCAGAGAAGGTCAAGAAGGGATCTAACTGCTATTTTCAACAAAGGAAAGAGAACAAAAAAAGATTAAGCTAGACTGTTCTTGGCAATGCAAAATGAAAAAGACAATAGATAATGCACAATAGCTGCAAATTCTGAATAGATATGAGGGAAAGAACTTCATGGTGACAGCAAACATTGAAATGGGCTGAATCACTGCCCTTGGAGAAATTCAAAACATGAATGGGCAAGGCCCTGAATGAAATTATCTAAGTTGGCCCTGCCTTGTGCCATGATCTGGTCCAGATGACCTCCAGAAGTTACTTGCTACTTATATGCTATAATTTGGCCCATTCCGGAAGCAATATCAAAATCCACTTCCTTCCAACAGCTGCAAGAGGAGTTTGTTTACTGCTTGTAGAAGTGAATTGTTGGATCAATACTATCTGATTAGTTACAGAGTCTCCTAGAATCCTCTAGAATGCTCTGTCAGTTTGAAGTCCATGTATAGGAAATGCAAATACAAGATACAGTCTGAATTCTTTCCCATTTGAAGAGATCTAAGCTCTTAGATAGTCAGTCCTTGTTCCCTTATCCTTCCTCTGCACCTTTAAGAACAAGCCATTTGGTAGATGACTTAGTAGGAGAATACAACAGCATTATACATTTTAGAATATGCACTCTCATAGTAATAGTAAAAAAAAAAAAAATCATTTTGATATTTTTTTGATTACATAGGACAATATATGTATTCTTTCCCAAAAAAAGAATACTGCAATTTCCTTTTGTTCTGTCCAGATGCTCTCCTTTGAGAATAATTTTGTCCTTCATGCAGAGTAAAATCAAACATCTAGAAATTCCAACATGTAGTCTGACTTCATTTCCATACTGCTATGAAACTGCAGTGTCTCTTCTAACCATGCACATATATCTCTTTGTTTAAGCTTTGAAAAGGTTATCACACCTGATCCTTCGGTGGTGTCTGAGTTCATGCACTGGTCTGCAAAAAGTAATCCTATATAGCTAGGGCAGGAAGCTGTGTCCTCTGCAATAACAAGAAAGAACCAAATATTTCAGACACACAGATTTAATGACAAGTACCTGAAAAGTTCTTAATTTCTTAAAACTCTGATGTAAAAGTAATTGTGTGTCTTTTCTCTAACTGCATTTCTGTAGCACTGAAATTTCAATTATATTTTGTTTTCCTTTGCTTTTGGAGTGAGCTGAAGTATTTTGAAATTACTAAGACTAATACACTGAAAAAAGTCTTAAAATAGTTGCAGAGCAAATCAAAAACAACATGAAAAGATTCTTAAAGCAAGCAAGAGCTAGCATGTGTCATGGTCAGTGTGGAGCTGTGCCTTAACTGCCTAAGCAGCTAACTCATAAAGAGCAATACCTGGTAAATGAAACCGCCCCTCCATTTGTAGCAAAATTTGCCTATATTCTGAATCCACAAATAATTTTCAGGTTATCTCTCCAAGAAAATCTCTTACATATGTATTGTTTCATGATGGGCCAAACAGGCAAAGACCAGCACAGCACCCAGATGAGTGGTTTTTTGAGTACTACCTGACATTACAAAAACTTAATTCCGCTCATCATTGTATACGTACAACTTAACAAAAAAGGATGTTGCACGCAGACAGATGAGGACAAAATCTGGTACAAAATATTTCAAAAGGATGGAAACATACTGGAATAAAAGAGCCTATACATTTATGAGTGAATTAATGGAATAAAACCAGCTATAAACCACATAAAACATTATGCACTAACGTCCCTAATCTCAGTAAAAATGTTAGGATTATTGGCATAACAGAAAAGCAACAGTGCATCTGGGAGTGAATGATCCTCATAAAGTAATTAAAACCAGTACTAAATAAGCCACTGGAAAGGAACAAACACAAGGAAGTTATTACATAAAAGATATAATACTCTCAACATGCAAACTGGCAGCCACAAGCTAAGCTCAGAAGAATTACCTTCTTGGTTTTCAAACTGTTCTGACAACAGATGGTAGCAGCAGCCCACACTGCAAACGGCTTTGATTTCAGGCTTGGCAGTAAAAATTCGTAGTGTATTTGCAGCAAGATCTCCACATGTATGTAGACCCACCATCATACAGTCCTGAGAAGAAAAAGAAAAAAAAAAGCAACAATAAAGTCATCTCTTTCATCAACTGAAATATCATACTTCTGCTACCTGGTTAAAAACCATTATTGGGCCAGGATATTCATTTACACCAGAGATAGCACTCTGTGTACACTCAGCAAACGTACACATGAAAATGGCAATCTAAAGACAATGGACAAACTAAAACAAGTAAATATTTAGAGTAAAATAACCTCCAGATCTGTTATGATGTCACTGAGTTCTGTTTCTGCAGTGATGCAAGAGGTCAATGGAAAATACAGGTTCGATTCACTTGACTTTCTTGCTTTACTCTTGAGAGATGTCATTTTCCTTTGTACTTTTTCCTCTTCACAGAGCTCCCCAAAGCTATAACGAGATGAAGAAAAATCTTCTACAGCATCAGCAGGAAGAATATTTAGAACAGCAAGAACCTCTTCAGAAAGTTTGGTCTCATGAAATTGTGCCCCAGTCACTAAATCAGCTTCAGTTTCTGTGTTGGTTTCAGGTGTAGCCGTTTCTGTGCAACCAAAAGAAGGAACTAAATCTTGGATAATCACTCGGTCCTGATTTTGAAGACTGTTTGCATTACTTAAAAGCTCTTCATTGATTGTTTTACAGTTAATTCCACTTTCCATTGGCCTGTTGTTTGACTTTTCCAAACTCTGGCTTTTGAGGTTTTCCCTTCCTCGACTCTGATATGCTCTCCAGTGTTTCTTCAATTTTTTATTTCTTTCATGAGCACCATTTGTGTTGGAGCTTGAGGAGTCAATTCCATAAACTTTTAAGTTATATTGCATGGACAAAAATGAACTCAGGTAGCCTTTTCCAGAACCTATATCAATCACCTAGATAATGGAGAAAAAATAAAGGAAAATAAGGTTTGCTGCATTAATGAGAAACAAGGCACACTTCAAATGCAAAGTTATTCCCTAAATATTTAAGCGTGGATTGAAGAGCTACCTTATTAGTACCATACTTCTCAATGCACTTAGCTCTTTAGCTTTGTTGGTCCATCTTCTGACTTTAAAACACAGAATTAAGTCTTAACTGATGTACTCCAGAAAACAGAGACTACAATGTTTATGCAATACAAGTCCTGCTTCTTGTAAAGACTTCCAGTATATTTTCTTGACACAGACCTTTCTTCTGCTAAAAAAAATAACCATAAACCAACAGCAATTCCACCTGCCCTTACTAAACTGGGTCAGAGTTAGCAAACAAACCACACGCAGTATTCAGCTTTAGGCACATAATTCCCATACTGAGGAGCCTACTGTCAATGGGTGCAGAGCAAAAAGCATCCTTAGGTTGAATGCCTAATTTAATCCCTTTAGATTTGACCTAAAAAAGGTTGATATTGATACTCTTTTATGTCAGAATGCTTTCCCCTTCTGTGAAAACAATTCATACAGCTTTATTTAACATGAGGATGCTTTTCTAACAAAATTAAGGGGCTCATAAGCCACATGTGCTTTGCACTGCCCGTTCTGGAGGAAGGAGTGATAGGTGACAGTTTGTCTCACAGCTGATACCATGTGCTAGTTCAGTGACTGATGTACCCCAGGAAAGAAAACCCCATACAAAGTGTTAGCAGAAACAAGAGTAACCTGAGATCTTTCAGTACATAATCACAGCTTTATATAACACGTTTTAATATGTAATAAATACATATATAATAAATACATAACACAACAGTTTTGAGAATTGGCAGAGTGACACTTCTCTAAGGAAAGAAAATTATGTTCACTTCTGTCCAGGTACTGACCAAAAATGATATTGATTAGATATAATGACTTCTTTACAGAAGCTCCTGGAAGTGTTTGATTTAAGAACATCTATGTTTTATTCTTGGTCTGTCACATGTTCATAAGAAAGCTTACACTGATACTGCTAAACCCAAATTGCAGCATACACTACATTGATGCATCTCCAACTCAACTGCACAGTATTTTACCAGGTAAAAATATTCAATGCAGCAATATTCTTACTCAATGAGAAAGATTTATTCATTATCTTAATAAAAAGATCTGGACAGCCATGGAATTAGAAATAAAAATTTGAGCCAATGTCAGTAAGGACTATAAAAAAAACACAGGAGAATACATAATATTAGGTAAAAACTGTTTACTCAAGTAGCATATGGCTTTATCATCGTAGTCATCATGTGATATTGATGACTATTTGCAATCTAGACAATCTACCATCATAAATTTTTTTGAAATAAATCTGTACAGGAATGAATTTAGGGAAATTAAATTTATATAACCTAAGCAAACTTTTTAAAATGCCATTTATTTGCCACATTTATCACTAATATTCTGCTCTACTCAGCCCTAGTGAGGCCACAAGTGAAATGCTAGGTCTAGTTCTGGGCAGCTCAGCACAGGAGTGACATGGAGCTCCTGGAGCGGGTCAAGCACAGGGCAACAAAGACCATGAAGGGACTGGAGCACCTCTCTTATTAGGAAAGGCTGAGGGAGCTGGGTCTGTTCAGCCTTGATAGGAGACAACTGAGAGTAAAAGTAGCTGAAGGGAAGGTGTTAAAAGAGGATTTCTCCAGGCTCTTGGTGCTGCCAAGCAGCAGGACAAGAGGCAACAGGTGGAAACTGATGCATTGGCAGTTCCATCTAAGTATGAGGAAGAACTTCTTTATTGTGCACTGGAACAGGTTGCCCAGAGAGGTTATGGAGTCTCCCTCACTGGAGATATTAAGGAATAATCTGGATGCAATCCTGTGCCTTGTGTTTTGGGATGACCCTGATGAGCAGGGAGGTTGGACCCACCGTGATCCCACTGTGATCCCTTCCAACCCGACCTTTTCTGTGATTCTGTCATTGGAAAGGCAAGAGAAGTGCTGAAGGAATAATTTTACCCATTCTTTTATTTAGCAGACATTACAGTTATGGAGAATATGCACTCCTCCACTTGTTCAAGTTCTAAATTTTTTCAGTAAAAAGCAGCACTTGGACACAAGAGAGGGGTAGTGAATTATTCCTATGACCCCTGGTGGTTATGGAGACCAGCTGCAGTTTGTGGAAAGTTTCTCAAGTAAATAGAAAACAGTGATACATTGTTAAATTAGCAGGGGGAGAACAGTTTAAAAGCAAAAGGAAAATTGACTAAAAATAGCAAGCAATGCTCTTGCACGAAACAAATAAACTGCATTCAATTATTCCCTGCTTTACCTTCCATTGATTGCATAGGGAAAGGTAATAAGCAATCCATAGCCTATCTGTCAAGCATGAACTTTTAAAATGAAATTTCCATGATATAATAAACTCCAAAGGTCTTGTCCATAGAGAGTTGGGTCCTATGTTTAAACACAGTTTCTGGCACAATCAAGCATTCCAACATTTCCCAGCATCAAGTCACAAACGTAATGGATGCTGTATGCAGAATTATATCATCTTTACATTACACACTCCAAGTTTTGCTGCACATGCTGCAATTTTCAAGGAATACTTTGACCAATACATTAAATAAAACAAATGTGCACTTAAGCAAAGAGGAATCAACACTGGCTTCTTTTCAGAGTTTAATAAAGAACTTCTTTAAAATACAAGTTCCACTTGTATGATAGAAACGGTGCTTAAAAGGGTCAGCAAACTACTGAAAAAAAAAAAGCCCTCTAGTTATTTTGAATTACTGCTTAAATTCAAATCATTAAGCCAAAAGTGATTATAGTGGTAATAAAATTTTTGCTTTTTATTCTTATTTTACTATTTACTATTGTACATTAAAAAATACCAACAGAGAGCAATATCTTCTACTACCCATTATATACAGCGTGGGTATGGAGGTGAAATGGAGGGCATTTCTCAAGCTGCCAGTGATCTGTAATATCTGAAACAAACACCCTGAGGACATGTGTTGCTGTAAAACATGTGTTTCATTTTCATAACTCTAGATTTTTTAATTAAATGATACATATATTTTGTTTTGCAAGAAGAATGGAAAAAAAAATCAATTAGGGAAAAACTCCTAAAATTTATAATTGCTACTTTTTTTTTCAGTTGAAAGAAAACAAAAATAAAAGGAGTTGCTTTTTAAAGACTAAGAAGGAGGCTTTCCTTTTTTTATTTTCCAAAGTAAAAGGAAAGCTCTTTTCATATATTAGGGATTTGTAACTTTGCACAAATAAATATTGCTATAGTGTATGACTAAAATGGAAAAAAGTTAATATAGAGCATTCAGCATTTCATATTCTGAAATATATAATAATATACTGCATTAATATTTTTCATTAAATGTTAGAACTTTTTTAAAAAGTAAACAGATAATAATCCCATGTATAAACATAATCCAAGTTACCTGATAAAAGTGTGCAATTACTAGATGAAATTGTAATGAGATGAATATATATATTGTATATATGCAGCATATTGACAGACACTTAATAAAGACTGGTTTGAGATTTTATTAGTAACCAGCTACACTGAAACTTCAGTTATCAAGATAGAATTACTTTTTTACTTTCTGAACAGGGTTTCTGCTTTCCTTTCATTCCTGAATCTCACAGGAACTATTTATATCTAAACAAAAATGCTATATGAAACACCACTTTCCAGCAAATGCAGAGACCACTTACTATTGCAATGTAAGCAAACTATACGCTTCTACAGCTTTTTCAGTACATGAAAGTCTTTAATACTTAACTAATATTTGCCTGAAACAAAAGCTAAACAAGGCAAAAAGTCATGCTCATGACAGAATAGCAGACTTTCACAAATGTGCTGCTAGTGTATTTCTGTTCCCTGCAGAGCGCACCCACTTTAGGGCTGTGGAGGTCTCTGTCACTGTGGCTGGCTCTTACAGGGCTGCTGGAGACACACCTTCCACTGCTGTAAGTGATCACAGATGCTCACAAACTGAATGTGTCTCACCCTGGGATGTTTGGCCTTAATGAAAGCTCTCTATTTACATGACAATCCCAGTTGTAAGAACACTACCTAAAACTTTGTCTTCATCAGCTGTTCCTCACAAAACAGATGGTCAGGACTGAGGATTTTGATCTCTTGTGTCCAAGGTGCCAAAGGCCTGACCCAAATCTAGCAAGAGTATGGCATCATTTACTTATCTAAATTAAACTCAGTCTGAGCCAAATAACCTCCCAACCAAAGTTCAGCTTCAGCAGTTTGGAGCTGAATCCAAGTTTTAGGGCTTTCCCTGTGGTGGGAGCAACAGCAACTTGGGATGCTGCAGGTACATTAATTTTAAACTATACTCATACATATTTACTTACAAAAAAGAATACTCAGAGAAAATACCCTCACCATAAAATCTGGACAGGTACCTTATTAACGTTTGGTTTTAAACAAATATAGTTTGTTCTCCACAAAATCTTTGTGGGAATAAATATTAGCCTGGAGGAAGTCTCCATTCACAGTTACAGCCCCTTGCATGGAAAGCAAGTGCAGCTCAGATGTAGAAGGGAATCAAATGCGCATCGAGAGCCCCATGTCACCTCTAGTTCAAACCAAGGATGAAGCTACATTGGCCAGCAGCTACCAGCATTAGAGAGATTAAAATGAATAAATGAACTCAGCTCACCCAGATACTGAGAAATTTAGCCTTACCACAACACAGGCCTAAGGTATGGAATCTAACATAAGGTTTATCACTGAAAAAGCTTACAAAAAAAGCGTATGTATGTAAACTGAGGAAATGGTATTGCTATGGCATGGTATTGGTGCATTTTGTCTAATAGAATGTGAAACACACTACTCGAAAAAGTCAAGTATTGCTTGTGTTTTGTCAACAGATCCATAAATAAACCTCTACAAGGTTTTACTGAAACGGTGATCTAGTAGTGCACTGCACAACCACAATTACATGTATCTAAAAAAAAGTTTTAAGTTGCAATCAAATTTGAGAAAGGAACCCTGCAATTCTTCACTACCCAAAGACAGACCTGTTATCTGATGTATGAAACACCCAACTCATGCAGTAATTGCTAGGTGATAATGGTGTTGGGTGTCCAGGCCTCATACATGTTCTACCAAGTGTATTTCATACACACTCTTACATAAATTTCTGCCTAATTTGCTCTCTCTTCAAACTAAAAACATCATAACTAAATTTCTAATTTACAGATCTCAATCCATGTTTAATAAAGGTGAACAGTATTAAACAATAGGAAGTAATTTAAATCTTGTGTCAGAATAAGAGGATCTTTCAAACCTTCCCATGATATTCTGCCTTGGTCTCTATGTGACACCCCTGTGTGCATGACACAAGGCAGCTGTTCACACAAGGCAGCTCTCCCTCCTACTGACATGTGCAAAACTGCCAGCAATAGAATACTGACAAACAAGGCAGTACCAGTCCAAAAAGCAGAACAGTTTTTAGCTGCTCAACACACAGAGGATGATCATAACTTTTTAAAATTACTCATGAGTGATTATGAGTCACTGAAAGGCAGCTCCTTTGGAACAATACATTAGTAAACAAAATTGTCCTTCAGTTTGGCCCCAAGAGCTCTTCTTTAGCTTCAGTTATGGACAGGAAAAATAAGAACAGCAGTGACAGAATATCAAAGTGATGCATTCGCACAAATCAAGGAGAATAACTCAGAAAGTACCTGGTAACACACAGCAAGAAATGCTTTCTTACCTGCTTTATCCCACAATAATTTGCTATGCTGTCTACCAGATCTGACATCACCTTCACTTCATGTGATTTCTTATTATTCATAAACTCATCTGGTTTGATACCTGTATCAGATTAGGAAAATAAATACACATTAACACAACTTGAAATAATAAGGATTTGTGATCAATCAGGAAAAAAAAAAAAGCTAACATATACTTCACTGTTCATATATTTCCAGGATAATAATTTTTAATTAAAAACTCACTGAATTATTACAGGAGTAAACTTCTGGATTATGGATGGATTAGCAACATTCAACACTCTACAAAACTCAGGTTTTTTAAGATGTAGCATATTTAATACCTGACCATATATTAGACAATAGATACAACTATAAAACTGTACTATTTCTTCCTTTACATTGGAAAATATTTATTTAGTCTCACCTTTTCATAAATGAAATTAAAAGGCTGGGACAATAAACAATCACACTGTACAGCTTGTTAATGCTGCGGATTTGCTGTCAATATCAAGAGGGAGATGCACTATTTCTACTAAAAAGTTATGAGCAGTACTGGGAAAATTCAGAGGAAGATGAACTTTTCTTTATTTACCCTATGGATTAGTTATAAAACTGTTGCACCTTAATGGCAGAAAAGCCCTCATTTCAGTGTTGCTGGAGAATGTGTTAATGAGATGGAGTCAACCTCCATCATGGGTTACCTGCTTGTGCAGAACATCAAGCGCACTCACTTGCAAACCTCTGCGCCACCCAGCCAAAGCAGGAGCTCAGAAGTCTCTCATTCCCTTGGGAGCAACCTACTTACTTCTCTTAGGGGTCCAGTGCTGCAGTACACTTGATCTAGTTAAACTGATGGTAAGTCTGAGTGATGGTAGAAGAAAATGGATCATTACTAATGAGCATGCTCCTAGAAAAGAGGACTTTTCTACATGACTAGGCAGATTAATATATTTTCCCATTTTCTGCTTTATGCACCGTATGTCTTCATCTGTCCAGAAACTGATCATTAGGTAAAAACCATGTTCATTTCTTGATCAAACCATGCTGGGAGCAGAGCCAAGTGTGTTACTTCTTTAAAAGAGAGTGGGGAATTGAACTGAGCTCATAAGAAACCCAGAGTTTTCTCTATTTTTCCCAAACCCCAAGGGATCTGTCTATTTCTTAAACATCTGGGGTTTTTATAATAAACTGTTATGACAATACTTAAAATCTAATATAGACTCTATGAAATGACAAAAGGAAAAATAGACTGAAAGACTTAAACAATACAAATAGCAGAAACAAGTTGTTTGTCATCTCATTGAAGAATCTCCTTAACTTTAAAATTGCAAAGATCTATACAGCATCCTAAAAAGCTCTTAATTTGTAAGCACATCAGGTTAAAGAAAAACAGACAGGAAAGAAAATTTAAAAGAAAAAAGGTCTCTCTTTTTGTTTATGTTAGAACATTTTTGTGTCTGGATAGGCTCATCAGAAAAAGAAGCAGAAATGGAACAAGAAGAAACAGACATTTAACTTCTTGACAAATAAAAGTTATTTTTTTCTCCAAAGCAGCACTGTCCCTTTGGACAATGACCACATACTGCACCTTTGCTCTTTATTATGAACTCAAAACACTGAATGGAGTAATGCTAGGTGAAGTACTATGTCAGAGAGTACTTAATCCAAATTAAGTATTTCAAACATGGTAGAGATCCAGAACAATTACCTAACTTACAAAAGCTGAGGTTCCATATAGAAAAAGCATAATTTGTTTATATCTACATCTATAGTTTATTTATCACCTTAGCTATGAAACTTTCTTAAGCATTTTTTGACTTCTTTCCCTTCTTTCTGCAGGATAATACACTGCTCATATTTCAGCTCATGGAAAAGGATACTTTTTGGAGAAAATTATGGTTTTTAAAATAAATTTTATTTTTCCTGCTTTTTATGCAAAATTCTGATAGGTTTTTACATTATTCTGGAAAAAAAAGCTGATATTACAAACTAATGCAAATAAATGTATCTGGGGACTGTTTTATATTGCCTGGACAGCTGAAAATTTGAATTAAAAAAATATACCAGTTTGACTGAAACTGTGTAAATTCTTTCTGCTACCACAAAATTACTTTCTTGAAACAGATAATTATACATGTATATTTCCTTACTATTTGTGCAACTGATGCAGACAGAACAAATACTAATTTCAAAAAACATCAGAAACTTAGAGAACCATCTTCCATTGTGATGAAAAAAAGATAAAGTGTTGTTTCAAATAGAGATATGACAGAGTAACAGAAAGCTTTATGTTACCATGTAATGAAATGCTGCTCATTTCCATTGGGAATCCCTAGCATGAGTACCTGTATTCCATTTGAAGAACTGCTTTAACACTGAAGTGCCATTTACAGCTACATCTTTAGTTGTGAAGCTAAGCAAATTGAGGAGAGACTTTTTATACAGGGCTAACACAGACATTTTTAAGATCTCCTATGGCAGGGTGCAAGGGTTTTATACCCCAGCTACCTGTGGAAACTCACTTATATACCAGAAAAAAAAGTATAAATCCATAGTCCACACCATACAACCATCTATACAGAACTTTACTACGGTGATTTAACTCCATGATCCAGAGTGAGGAGCTGGACTAACCATATACTCAAAATAACCCTTCTGAGGCAGAGTGATATTCCAGCACATGGAATTTAAAGATGGATTAATTAGGAGCCACTGCATGGCATGATTATTACCTTGGCCATAAACACACTGCAAAGGTGGAATACTCTCAATCCAGCCATCACTTCTGGGTGGTTACAAAGCAAAGCAGAACACCCTTCAGACTCAGAACTCCATTCTGAGTATCTATGTCCACAACATCCTTAAAATGTTTATGCTTCCCAATTATTCCCACGAAGGATGGGAATATATCTACATTAAGATTGCAAAGAAGCTAGAGAACTATGTAAGTATGCAAACTGTGGGAAAAGGCTCTGTTTGTCTTAGAAGAAGAAAACGTATTTAAAACATCTGAAACATATATGGAATTACCCTGACGCGTATTTTTCAGAATATAGGCAACACCATCAAAAAGTTGCCAGTTTTCTCAGACTTACATTTCTCTCAACCTGCAAGCACGCTTTAGCATGTCAGGGAACAAAGATATCTTCTGAAATACAGAAATAATTCCAAAATATCTAAAATAGCTCAAAGTTACAAGATCACAACTTTCATTTGGCAACTTGCACATTATGAATCCCTAAGCTGGTATTTTGAGTATGCCAAATGACTACCAGGAACTTCAATTAAGTTAATTTAACTGATATTTACTGCCAATCCAGCACAAAGGTTTTGAATTATAGTTCTATTGTACACATTTGGAATGCATTTTATTTTTCCCAAGAAGTACTGCAAAAAAAAACAAACCCAGGCCCCAGCTACTCAACCAAGTATCACTCCTGTTACACAGAACAAAATATTCAGCAATTGCATTATTCCTGATGCTCCATTCTGCATGACAAGAAGGTGAAAGACTCCTCAAAGTTTTGGCTAAGAAAGTTAACTCAAGTAGAAGAAGGTAGAACTAGAGAATTACAGAACATTAAGAGGAACATGGGGAATGAGATAAAGTAAAAATGAAAATAGCTAAAAAGCTAGTGGGAAAGAAAAACAGCATACAGCTATCAAGGAAGAAAAAAGGGTTTCTGATGAACTAAGAGCATAAGGAAAGAAGCCAGAAAGTAAGAGGAATGCACTACAAATCATTAGGAGTATCTCAGCAATGGCATTCTAGTACCTCTAAAAAAAACCTGGGGAGCCAACTATGAAAAATGGCAAAATTGAAAAGAGATTGCTGTAGAAAATGGGAGAGATGCACAACATCTGTATAATGGTGCTATCACTTAGGATAAGAAACATCAGGAGTTTTAATGCATCACAGAGATAAAAGGCACTAGAAGGCTAAGGCAGAGAGCTGCTCAGTCTATCTCTTAAAAACTAATGAGAAATCTCACGGACAGTGGTAAATCTAGAGAGGCTGAGGACTCCATGAATAGCCATTTCATTTGAAGTGAAAATGACAGCAGTCCAAATAAGGATAAATGTCAGTTTACAATCTGATCTAAAAATTATAATCAGGATAAGATTGCCAGGGTCCAACTTGCTGCCAATTCAATTTCTTTAACTACAGAAAATGAAATTACTCTTGTTTTATCACATATAAATGGTATTAGTCCCAAAAATACAGAATTAATAAAAGCTTTTTTTTCTAAGACATCAAACATTTGCCATATTTTAGGGTGATACTTCTAAGAAAAGCTTGAGTAGCAACTATGATTCTTGCCAATCAGGGACAAAACAAAGAGAATTAACAAGGTATCTCAAATAGTGATGTGCATTTTTCTTTGTCCCATCCCCTTTGGAACTGAATCCCATGACGGGTCTATAGATACCAGATGCTCAAATTTTAGCAAGAGAATCCATTTTGTAAACAAAGACAATAAAAAAATATCCAGGAACAAATGAAAATAGAAGTGAGGATCATGTAGGAAAAAACCCTCAAACAAGAAACTACCCTCCAAAACCAAAACTCTCTTACAGTCCTATAGTGAATAAGCAAACATTAAAATACAGATGTAAATATACCTGTTGCTCCTTCACTGTCTCCTTTCAGTGCTTCAAGCATATCTTCTAGTGGGGTACACACTCCAAGGTTGGGCAAAGAATAATACTTAGCAGCCAGGGCAAACAAATGTACATTGATAAGCTTCTCAGAGTTTTCACAAAATGCACTGGAAAAGATGTCATCGTCTGCACATAAAAGAAAAGGAAAAAAATTTTGTAAACAGTGCTTAACAGCTCTCTAGTACTGCTGACAGAGAACTACAGGCAATAAATACTTAGCATCAAACACAACCAGCCATTTATCTTGCTTCCCTAAGTGGGAAAACTCATTATTTTTCTTCAGCTGTATTCCCCCTTCAGAACTGAGGTCAAATTCAGCTCTTAGCTAAGCAAGTGTTAATGTGGCAAAATCTGTTGTTTCAGCAAACCTACTTTAGTATAATTGACAAGTTAATCCAGTCAACATTATCACTTCTGTTTACAAACTTGCTCATTATGCACGTCCTAGTCAGCCCTATCTGCCAATACATGCTGCTGGATTTTTTTTTTAAGGAATGCAGCTGTTCAGTATATGAAATGTTTAGATTCACAATCACTCAATTCATGTACTTTCCAAACTGTTTGTCACTGATGAATACTGGGAAAATTAAATTAAATTTTATTTACAATCAGGTGTGGGCCAAAGTTAAATTCCAATGTGTATCTCATTAGATTCATGATGCAATACTTCATTTTGGTATTACTTGGTACTGAGTTTCAAAAATGTACATTTATTTTTAAGTGAAACGTATTAGTACGAATAATTTATTATTTCTAAGATTGTTTGGTATTGTCTAATTCCTCTCTATTTCATCTATTTGTGAATTCTACATAGTTTTGCTAATTATTTTTATACATTTGTAATTCTTTTCAATATTTAAAAGGCAACCAGTCCAGCAATCCAACTGTTACAAAGATTTGGAAAAAGTCTTCTAATTTGTCTTTTGTGTCATAGGTAGATTTTGAGGAAGTACATACCTAGCACAGTAGCTTTCCTGAATCTGGCATGACAATGGATACAGCTGTTTTGATTGACCTCAGCTCTAATGCTCTTAATTTCCTGCATGACCACAATTAAGGGTCATGCATACATTGCAATCCACTGAAAACAGTCCCAAACCACGTTAATTTTCATGATACGACACTACAAAGTGACAAGCGCAGCAAACAAATTTTGTATCGAAGAAAGCATAAATATTGTCTAAGTTATGACCAGAATTAACATGGTTTTATTGCCTGCACAGCACTTCTTACTCTACTTCTGCTACAAAATCTTAAAAGAAAGGCACTTTTCTCCATAAACAACTCCTTTGTCTGAACAAATTTTAGTTAGTGTAGTCTTCATGAAGGGTAAGACTGTAACAGGATACTAGAGACAAGAAATAAAGACTGCAGCTTTTAGGGAAAAGGGGCAACTTTGCTTTCCAATGTCTCTTCTGTAAGATTTATTACAGAAAGGTAAGGAAATAGATGTGCTTTCACTTTTTCAGCAGCTGACATAAAATATAATTACTGTTCTCACAAATCTCACTGAACTGAAATACAATGCAGCAATACCCGAGTTCTAGAACGCTCCTTAACCTGGTTACTTAGTGGAAGAACATGACAGACCTAGCAGGATCTCATACAAGATTGCTAATGCATCACTCATGACAACACTCCCACCAAACTTAAAATTGTTGGCCCAGCTTGACAGCTGAAAAAAAAGAACCAACTACATTAAGGCTTCTGAAGCCTAACTTCAAGCTACAGAACGGCAGTTGGGGTGAACTTTGTATTATTTATGAATATTAAAAATGTTAGGGTTTTTTTTGACACGTTTCTACTCTGGATGCTCACAAGAGGAAATCTAGCATGTCTTTTAACCAGTCAGTCTCTACATTTGCAAACAAATCTTCAGAGGAAAGAAACATATGCCCCAAAGTTGGAATCACAGTACAAACAGTAATTTACAGTAAGATATGAAAATACTTAAACACAGATTTGTCTGTGCCTGTGTCCAATTTACTGCAATGATGTGATAAACAAAATGCAATATGGCAAGTGTCAGCTTTTTGATGTATTCAAACCAGTTTCTGAAACTAAAAAGGGATCTTACATTTTTCTGCAGCATACAAGTGAAAACAAAGGTTCCATCTTTCACATGGTCATTATAATGAAATGACTTTGAACAGGGAAGAGTAATTTCTGTTTATGTTGGGTTTCAAGATCTCTGATGGTCAGTTTCTGATTCCCTAACGTTATTGAGTTGCACTAATGCACTCAAATAAGCTATGATACTACATTCCTCTCTCTCTCCTAATTTTAATACAGGCTAGCAGTGCACTAATTTGCAAATGCAAGTAGATGTTTGCAGGTGTCTTCACTGAAAAACTTATACTCTACTATGAAGTATTTTCATCATACGACTGGATGGACAGATACCATGCAGTCAAATGAGGAAGGCACGAACCTCCAAGCATATCAGCATGCATATACCCACTCCACTACAGTGCATTGTGTTAAGTAGCATATCATAAAGTCAGGAAAAAAGGGCAAATTTTTCCATTTTTTCTTTTAATTAGCAGAAACAATCCCTGCAGAAACAAAAGAAGAAATGCCATGTTTTAGCTACAGCATGAAAGTTTCATACTCTTCAAAAGGCGTGCTTAGACATAAATTTTCTTTTTGTTTCAGTAATTTCTGCATCAGAATCCGTAGCACACATTTGGAATTCAAATTATTAAATTATTTTCCAGTTTTGAAATCTACAAAACAATACTCCTCATTCTCATTCTACTCTACAGGCCACCACTTTGGTGTCTGAATCATTCCATGCACTTTCCCATAGAAACAGGTTAGAGCAGAGTAATTTTCCTTTACTGTTTTCTTCATGATGATTTCATTTAATAATTAGTTTTGTTTCAGCCTCTATTTACATTCAATTTTATGTCCTGTTGCTCTGAACCAGTTCTGACTCTGATATTACCTGTCAAGAACATTAAGCCTGTCCTTGCTGCTTCCCAACACTTTTGCTTGCTGACCAGACCACTGTCTCGTTTCCATCTGGCTCTTGAAGGTAATTCATAATCCAGTGTCTTTTCCATGCACAAATAAACTCTGTGGGATTTCTCCCAAATAACTCAACCCTTTAAAAATGAGTCTTACAGTTAATATGTTGAGAGGTCTTTAGATCCAACAGAGCACATGTTGCTAGTGACGTAGCAATTCACAGTTCTTCAATCTCTTTCTGAGTCCAAATCATTATTTTAGTTTGTCTTCTATGCCAAAAAGCACATGCTACATTCTGCAGAGCCTTCTCTTACACTGCACACGCTTTCCTGCCTCGCGTGCCATTTAACGTGAGATTTCAGAGCTAACGCAATGTGACAGCTATCTACACTCCATATGCTTTGGCTTTTCTCAGCTAAGTGCTTTGTCAGAGATTTCACCTTGGATTTGAAAATTATCTCTTTGCTCGGGATCAGTCCCCCCAAATACCACAGCTTTCAGACGCTGTATCTTCATTTCTGTGCCCTGCCTCAAGGAGCATTCATTACTGCTACGTTTCTCTCCTACTTGGAGTGTGTTGCATTCAGCAACACAGCAGCCTAGCTGGCTTCCTCTCCAGTTATGTGAAAATTACTAAAAACATTAAATGCTTCTTAAATAGATCTCGTCAGAAATAAAGCAGCTGCTTGCCTGTGCCAGACGCACTGACTATTACAGATACACAGGAAAGCGGTGTTAGGCCTTTCCCAGCTGTCCTCCGCATCTCCAGTTTCAACACCGGAGGACTTTCAACTGTTACATCTTTCCACCCGTGGAGGTGGGGGGTTTGTTTGTTTTTTGTTTGTTTGTTTTGTGTGTGTTTTGTTTGATTTAGTTTGGGGTTTTTTTCCATTTTAATTGCGCTCTTCAGGAGTCGGTCAGAGTGAAGGAATCTGACAGCTTGGAGTTCCATTTCGTTTCCAAAGGAACACGGCCACAAGCGCCACTTCCGCGAGACCCGACAGTGCGACAGGCCGGCTGCGCTCCCTCTGCAGCGGGACGGCTCCGAGCGGCTCCGGTTCCCGCGGCACGGCCGAGCGGCGCCGCCCCGCGCCCCCCGCGCCCCCGGCCCCACTCACCGCACGGAGCCGCCGCGGCGCCCGCGCCCGCCGCCAGGGGGCGCGCCAGCGGCCCGGCCGCGCGCAGCGCCTCGAGCACGGCGTCGGGGCGCGGCGCCACGAGCCGCTCCCAGAGCCCGCGCGTGAAGAACTCCACGGTGTGCGCGCGGCACAGCGGCAGCGCGCGCCGCACGAACCGCGCCGCGCGCCGCAGCGCCCGCGCCGCCGCCGCCGGGGGCGGCTGGGCCGGGAGCGCGCTCGGCGGCCGCGACATGGCCCCGCGCGCGGCCCGTCGGCGGCGCGGCGCAGCTCGGTGACGTCGTCTCGGTGCGCGGCGCACGGAGCGCGATGGCGGCGGCGCGGCGCGACGGGCCCGGGCCGGCGGCGGCCAAGGCGGGCGCGGCGGCCCGCGGGCCCGGCCGAAAGAGGCGGTGGAGGCCCGCCCTACTGCGCAGCGTTGTCGGCAGCGTCCAGGAGGGTGAGTCGGGGCCGCCGGTGAGCCTGAGGGGGCGCCGCGGGAGGCCCCACTCCTTGGCTCAGCTGCGAGCCGGCTCGACCCGGGAGTCCCGGCTGGGGCCGGCCCTGCCAGGCCTAGCGGAGGGTTGGGCTGGCGGAGCCCGCAGCCCCTCTCGCCCCCGGGTGTTCGTGGCCGTGGGCTCGGGGCTGGGGGTTGCAGGGCTGGCTGTGCGCGGCCTGTGTGAGCCGGAGCTCCCCGGGTCCGGGATTGCAGCCCTTGGGCCGCGTGGCGATGGGTTTCGGGTTCAGGACTCGCTTTGAATTTTCTCCGTAGAAAGGTGAACGTTTAAAAAGGAAGCGTGTTTGAGAAAAGGTTCAGATAGTTGATAGGTAGTTATGCAGATGTAAAGATGAATAGGAAGAAGAGCACGGGCTTCAGCAGCACTGTGTTGAAGTGGCAACTTTGGAGAAAGAATAAAAGGAAAAGTTGGAACTGATTTGGCTTCCCTTTAGAATCTGTTTTGTTAGTAAATACTACGAAAGTCAGTAGATCTTAAGAGTAATGTAATAAAAAATAGGGTATTAGGAAAAAAAAAAACAAGTTTAACTTAAAGTTTCATTTTTCTTTAATGGTCGAGACTGAAACAGCCAAAGTCTGAGCTTTCCTTTAAGCAGGAATGATTCTATGATGTAGCTGTAGAAAAGTTCTTCCTGGACATGTGTAGAAAGAAGGTAGTAGCAATAAAACACTGTTTAAATGAAAAGATGTAGTGGATTATTAATGTAGAGAGATATGAGGCTTTAGTGACATTTTTCCCTGTGTCACAGCACACTTCTGCTGCTGCAGCAGTGTTATTATCTGTCTTTTCTTGAGACTGCCTTTAGGAGCTGATTCCGGAATCTATTTTGATATTGCTTTAGAAGCTGTCAAAAGCAGGACTGAAGTGAAATGTTAATACATCTTTTCCTTGGCTTCAAAAAGCATTGGCAAAGGTGCATAGTGGTGAGTGGGCAATAAGTAGTGATGTTTGCAGTGCTCTCCCGGGGATTTAGGGAGTAATTTTGGGTAAATCAGCGATGCTGCAGTGGGGAACAACCTAATAATAATGTTTCTTACCTTGAACTTACGACTGGGCCTTATTAAAATTGCCACACATAGTGGCTTTTTCAATTTGGAAAGAAAACAAAATGAAAGAGTTCAGGCAACAATTGAATGGTTTGGTACTATTTTAGTGCAGGTGTATTTAACTCCCCTTTTCTTATTCTTTCAGGACGAGGATTTGCATTTCGGAGGAAACAAAAGATTGAACGACAGTACAGGAAATTGCTGAAAAAGAGAAGACAAGTGCCTGCACAACAGGGTGATCAGTTTACTGATACTTATCCAGAGCACTTGAAACATCTTTACCTTGCAGAGGAAGAAAAGCTTAAGAAGCAGCGGCGCAAGACTCCAGACAATTCAGTGTCATCAGAAGAAAAGCTTAATAAAGCAGCAGAGTAAGATTCCAAAGTCTTTTAAAAAAGTAATTTTTTCCATCGCTAAATAAATATTTTAGGTCTTAACAGTTCACATGGACTTCAGTGTGGTGATTTGCTTTACTAAAAATGCCATTGTGTCTTAAATATTTTTCCCTGGTGGTTAGAAAAATAAATGACAGCGTAACTAGTTTTGTGTACTTGAGACGACGAGGCGTCGTTGCACAGTATTACCACCAGATGGAGATGAGAATAAAGCAAATTTTTTTTTTTGTTGTTTTTTCCATAAGAGAGCAGTATTTCTAAATGAATGTTCTCATCTCTCTGCAATTGCTTCCATATGTTTGAACTAGAAAGAGAGAATGCAGCTTTAAGCTAGTATGTCCAGGTTTTTAGCTCTGAGGAGCTTAAATTATGGGGGAAACTCTTTTAGGTAGTCTTTAAGCTTCAGGAAACATCATCCATGTGGAGATACAGCAGATAAGGTGTATGACTAAAAGTTGTGTGCGCTCTGGTCTTTGGTGCATTTGGCATTGAAGAAGTTTAGTTTGTTGTGTTTTCTTGCTGGCTGCTTATGCATGGCCTGGAATGGTGTCGGGTATCATGTAAGAATGGTGCAAACAATCCATTCAGTGTAGGAGGATGAGTCTTCTGAAACCTGTATTTGTAGTTAACTTCCCTGAATTTGTAAAAAGCAGTGGAAGACTGTGCTGTGATTGTGCAGTGGCTGTGGTGTCTATGGTTATGTCTGCTTGGTGATAATCAGTGTCTGAAGAACATGTACTTTTTCTTCCAGGTCAGTTGTGACTCAAGAGAAGTTTAAAAATAAGACGTCCAATCAGAAGGCAAAAGAAGAGTATGAGAAAATAAAGGCTGAGCATGCTAGAAAGAAAGAGGTACATTTAAACAGAATTCTTTCTTGATTTTAAACAAAGTCTAGATTAATGCCATTTCTGCCTCTCAGTCTTCCATCTGAACCCAGAGAAGATTGTAGGAGGTATTGGAACTCCTTCAGTCTTTTTCAACTTGACAGTGGTATTCAAAGCACACAGGCGTTCAAAGGATCCTTCTCTTTGTTCTTACTATTTTTGTCCTGCAATTGCCGATAGCAGAATTTTATCACGTCAGTTGGTACATCAAGAAAAGCTTAGAGCTTGATCTGCATACCCCAGTGGATTATATTAGACCTCTTAAATTTTGTAGAAGGGGAAGTAATAACAATACCATCATCATGTGATGGAAAATTAAATACCCATCCTGTCTTTCATGGCATTATCATCATGCGGTCTTCATTTTACCTTTTTATGTACTTCGACCAACAGTGAAACAATTAAATGTAATAGTATCTGCAGTCAAAAATTTTAGTAATTCTCTTCATTCGTATTTATTTTGAATTATTTTTATGGGACATACTGTAATATCATCATTGTGAAATAGCGCACTTGAATTATTAATTTGAGAGGTCTTTATTTAACTACTGTTCTTTCCCAGGACATTGTTTGTTGCACTGTAAAAGGGCACACAGTGTAACATTGTAGAAGTCGTGTAGCTTCCTGGTCACATACTAAATTTCAGTAGCTACTGAATAAATATTAAATATCTCTATTAAATATAAATTAAATATATATATATAAAGTATTTAAAATACTTTAATAAATGTAAATATATATATATTAAGTATTAAATGTATAGCTGTGTAACTATAACTGTATACTATTTCTTCAGTTCAGCTATGTTTAGTTTTATGCAAGCTGATCTGTGATTCTGGGTGAGTTACATGGTTATTCAGCTAATGGCTGCTTTTTTGCATATTAGCTATAGATTGTATCAAAAGAAATTAATGTTATGACCAGCTTATTTAGAGAAGGTGAGAACAAGCCAAACCCCAGCAAGACAGCAGGGAGTATTCTCTGGGCAGCACATAGGAGTTGCCTGAGTGCAGGTGTTGGCATTTTTAGTTTTGCTAAAGATAATTGGGCAAAACAGGAGCTAAGTGCCCAATAACAGTAATCATTTACGTGGAGTTCTTAAGTGGCGCGTGATGAAAAAGTAAAGTACGTACTTCACCATCGTGTATATTCGCAAACACTGGATTTGCTGTGTTTATCTTGGGAAGAGAAACAAGCCTAAAGACACAATTTTAGCCTCCTCAAAGGCCTTTTTTGGCCTGAAGAAAGCTAAGGCTTAGTAAAGATCAGAAAAAATTAATACAACTAGCAACTGTGTAAGTACGGTGAATGTTCTTGCTTGGAAGTAGGCATTAGGTTGGTAGCTTAACTAGGTGTTGTATACAAGAATATGCTGAACAGCAGAAAAATTATTAGATAGGATGTGAATTACTGGTAAGTTAGAGTTGATGCTGCTCTGTTTTTTTTAAAAGGGGGGAATAAATTGTATTAGTCATTATGGTAAAATAAGTCAAGGGTTCTGAGTGGAAAGAGGTTATCTGTGCATATTTTGCTTATGCATGTTTATGTGATTGTTGGGATTTTTTCCTCTTAGATTTCTGTTTAGAAATCTTTCCTTATGTCTTGGTACCTCACTGAAGCCATCTAGGCTGTGGAAAACAAAAATTACAGCACTGGAAAAGGGGGTGTGAGATGTTGGGTAGAATCTGAACATAACACTGTGGAGATATCTACAGTGTTGGTCATCCATCCATATACAGTTGACACTCCATTAATAGTTTGGTTGCGTGTCTGCTTCATGGAAGGTTTTACAGGTGAAAATTTGATTAAGGTTTATGGTTTTGTTCCATCTCTCTTAAAGGAACAGACTGCAACCTGTGTTGCTCAAAGAGGACAGGTCACTAGTAGTTTGGTCTGGATTAATTTTCCCTAGATAATGCTGTCCTAATAACAGAAACCTGCCCAATTTATGGTGCAGATATATCTCATATCCTATCAGCCTATCCCATGCAGAGGTGTCCAATATCCTAGCACATCTGGATTGGCAAGATATTCATTCACATGGGAGCTGCTGCATCACCTTTTTCCTTTCTTGCACTCGAGAAAGTGGGGAAAATTTTGCCAGTTTGTCATTTAAGGAGAGTAGTCAAGGAGCACATTTCACAGAAAGGAAGTAGTATGCATTGCAGCAGCAAACCTTATTGTAGGATGTTCTGCTGAAGAAAACTTGGCTCTTCTCTTGAAGCTTGGGGTTGTATAATTTGTTTTGATTGTCAGCATGTGCTGAAAGAACATCGTGATTCAGCTTTAGAGAAATGATGTTTCTATTGGCAGTACAATACCTAATTGCCAGTACCTATATAAAAATGAACTTTATTGCTTATGGATAGCTTTGCAGTCACAGGTTTGTAATTGTTTCATAATCTTATATTTT